TTGCCGCCTCGGACGGCGTGGGGTGGAGGAGTATTGGATGGCCCTCCACAATCGGGCCAGAGCTGCCCTAAACCCTAAACCCTTAACCGACCACTCTTCCCCCAAGGTGCGCGGCTCCTGGCCGAGGCCCGCCGCGCAGGAAGCGCTGTTGAGGCCTCCGTATTGTTGCAGGGTAGGGTTTAGGGTTTATAGGGTTTAGTGTTCAGGGTTTGCTGCTATGTGCCCTTAAGAACCCCAAAGAGAAACAGATAAACATCCCTACTGCCCTGATAAGGAAGATGTTAATTTCTGGGGGTTCTTCTGGTTTAGGGATGTGCCTGAGCTGCTGGGGAAAGCGTTCTGGCCAGCAAGGGTTTAGGGATGCAGCGAGGTTTTGAGACGTTTGGAGTTCAGGGCAGGTCTTCGGGCAAAAGCAGTTCTTCAGAGTTAGGGTGGGGGATTTGCTTCTGCGTGCTCCCTGCGACCCCTATGCTCTCAAGCTTCAGACCCCAGGCCGAATCCCTTGCTTTCCCCCGGTTTGCGATGGCAAGGTTGGAGTTGAGTAGAGAGTGTGTAGGCGTTCGAACCTTTTAGGATGGAGAAAGCATTAGGCGGCCATGTCTGGCTGGCATAGATTCGCCAATTCGCCCGCTGTCAGTCTCAAGCGGCAAGGCGTCCGACGCACCTTTCCCAGGGCACAGGGCCATGGTTTCGTATCGCTGGCTCTGCCTCGTTCTAGGCTACGCCTTGGTGGCCGGGTTGTGTCTAAAGGCCCTCAAAAAACGCTTCTCCCTCATAACCCTGCGAGGCTGGATACCCGCTTGCAGAGACTTCCGTGTCCAAGGAGGACATCAACTCGGACAGAAGCTCATCCAACGAAAGCGTCAGCCATACCACGGAGGAACCAGAGCCGATTGGAGAGCACCTGGCACGTGCTGCAGGGCTGAAGACCCGGATGCCGGTCTACCTTCAAACTGCCGCCGCCTTACTGAAACCTTTCCTCTTGGCACTGGTCCTGGGGCCACAACGGCCGGGTAAGAAGGAGCCCTGGCACAAGCCACTGCAGATCCTGATCCTGACCGTGGCTCCCTTCGTGGCCAGCTTCATTGCAGACTTCCGGATGACCTTTCACATGTGGTTCTTCATTGATGAGGAGGTGAAGCCCACGTTCCGCCTCCTTGGCACGCTGATGGTCATCGGCAACTCCCCGCATCTGAGCGTCTCACGCACTTACAATTTTCAAGTTGAACGTGGAGTTAGGATGAGTTAGGTACAAGATGCTGGGGGGAATAGGCGAGTGGCAAGAACACGTCCTCACAGACCCCCCTCCCCCGCCAACGTCCGTTCGTGAGAAAGGTCGGAGTCAGACGGGCATACAGCTGCACTTCACTATTCTGTACCCTTAATATAGCAGTCATTCATGATTGCCGAAGGTTCAGTGAGTTCAGAGTTGTCCGGGCTTCGGGTGCTAGATCTGTGTCTCGCTCCCACTGCCTGGGTTCACTTTTTATTTTTACACAGAGACGCAGCGGCAAAGCGAGGGACAGAGAGGGAGAGAGAGAGAGTCGTCCAGGGCTAGTTGAACTGCCTGCACTCCATGGAACTCGATATGGAATTCAGGAATCTGGCAACGTCAAGCTGCATCGCCGGCTCGCTGATGCTGACATCAAGGTCCCATGGCTGGGCGAGGCAGGCACAGCAAGCACAGCATTCGGAGAATTCCGGGCCCCCGACCATCTCCGAACGTTTGCTGTCCGTCTTATTGCCCTGCGTGACAATCGTGGGCAGCATCTGCTTCGTGGTCACGGTGTTCCCTCTCAGTCTTTTCCTGGTGTCCACGGTGGTTGCCTACTGTTACATCAGCCTCCCCTTGTTGTTCATGGCTGCCGTTTTCGGCTATCGCATCGGCCCATATGGAATGCTGGGCCTCATGAAGCTTCGGAAGGCAGTCACGGAGGTGTGCTGCCCGAAGCCAAGCGCTAGCTATGAACTCTGCGACCTCCAACCGTCTGAGGAGGCACGCAGGGGCTCGCCTCACACAGCTCTTGCTTCAGCTTTGCCCTGTGACCAGGTGCTTAAGGCTTATGCAAAGGGTCTCCCAGAGGGTTTGGACTACAAGCAGATGTTTCTGGAAAACAAGGACAGCGGAAAGTCTTAGGGCGTCCACGCCATGGTGGCAAGAGTTCAGCTTTAGGGTTTCAGAGGCAGGGGGATTGAGTCAGTCTGTTGTGAAAAGGTTTGGCTTAGAAGGCTTCAGGCCCAACCGTATGACCCAGCGAACTCCTTGGAAGAAGGAGTGGGTCGAACTGACTGGCTCCACCTACGAGGGCTGGGCAGGATATTTCTTGCTCGCTGGCTGCACAGGACGGATCTTCAGAGTTCCCCGAGCCCGGAACCCAGGATTCATGTGCCATTTTTGCATCTCAAACTGAGGCTCCCTGCGATTGCAGCCTTCTTTCCACTGGCCTCTTCAGTAGCGGTGCGGCTGTCGGTGCGCGATGGCTACTGGCCGGCGCTGGTCGACTCCTGGAACGACAGGCGCGGAGAGGGCCGCAGTGCTGTCATTGATGGTGTTTAGATGTGTTTAGCTACTTTTAGCTCAAAGTCTGAAAAGTTACGTATATACAGTAGAGTGGCATTAATGGTTACTTTTCAGAAACAAGAGAATCATTTTGTGTTACCTGGCTTCTACGCCGGTGGTGCCCCTAAAGGTTCCCATGAATAGACTCCTTATACTACCTTTGGGGCTCCTTTTTGGCCCCCCAAAAAACCCAAGGGTGCATGCTCAAGGGTCCCAGAAACCCTGGGATGGGCCCTGTGGGTGGGCGGGCGGGGGGGGGGGGC